CTCTCACCTTTACTACTCACAGTCTGAAATTCAATCGCAGTTGGAATTAGGTAATAATTGGCATTAGGCAAAACTAACATCTTTCAGACAGGGCTTCTAAGAATGCTCTTTGACAACATCTAAATTGGTTAAGGCCTTCCTATTGTTTCATCCTCTTTGTTTCCACACTTTGTGATGAAGTTCATGACCAATTGGACACTTCATGGCTTTGTCTTCAGTGATATTTAAATGCCACTGGGCCTGGGAGACTAACAGATTTCTCCTGAGGCCTCTTCAAATGTAGCTTAATTCTTAATGTTTTTGTGGCTTTTGTTAATTTAAAAGACAGATCTGTAAGACCTACCTCGTCTTCCTTTCTGTCTACTCATCCATCTCCATATTAAATCCTGCCTGGATACACCAGGAAAGAAAAAGAAGAAAAAAAAAATGGCATATCCTTGTCCTAAAAGAATCACCATGGCAGTGGTGTCAGAGGAATTCCTATGTCATTCAAGAGGTGCTCAAGTACTCTTAAGAAGTCTAGCACTGGCTTCGAGCAAGATCCCTGGTACATCACATCACCTTCCACACAGTGAACCAGAGGGGAATGAATTTAGCTGAATCCAGCAGAAAAGGTATGCTGTGTAGTACTCGGGAAAGAAAATCATCAAAGTGACAAAACCAACAGATCACCCTGAAGACTGAAGGGCATGCAATTTCTCCTCACAGTGCCCAGATAAAGGAGAGGTCATACGAAAACCCCAGACATTAATGAAGGAAAAAATGATAATTAAAACATTTGTGGACTCTCTTTCTAACAAGAACTCTACCACTTTAGCTTGTGGGGGTAGTTGGTCAGCAATAAGAAAAAAAATGAAATCTCCATGTAAAAGACTTAAAAGTTAGGTGAATTTTACATACCATGGTTTCTCTACTTGAGTGATCTAAAAAATAAATAAATAAGTAAAGACTCACTGAGGCTTTAAGTGCCACAAGTACCCCAGGCAGAAAGATCAGGCTTGGTTAAACTATTACATAGTCCGCCATTTGTGTATCATGTCATCGAAGGTGTCAGGGAGGAAAAGAAATGTACCTCTTCCTTCGTGTTGGCCAAAGTGACAGAAATCGGTGTTCAGAACTGAAATGACAAACCCTTCAGTTTAGAAGAATGCACATTAGAGCACAGACCTTTCAGTTCTCTTATGTTAAAACAAAATAAATAAAATAAAAACACAAAATTTTAAAGGCAGAAGGGAAAATGCTAGGGCAATCTGATCAGGAAGATAAAATCTCCCCCTCTGGCAAAGTTCAGGAACATTCTGCAGCAGAAGTTCTCCACTTGTCAGAAGAATTTATTTTTCCAATTCCTTTCTCTTGGGGAGCATGCATTTCCCCAGCAGATATGAGAATGACCTGATTCTCCCAAGGTAGCAAACTCTCAACTGGAACTCTGTTGCAGTCGCTCGTAGAAAATTTCCTGTTCCATTATTGCACCAAATGAGCTCTGGGCTAATCAGACCCTCTAGGGAAAGGATAAAAAATAAAAAGCACCCATCCCCTAAAGCGAGACTCTGAGCTGCTTTGAACTACATTTACAGCCTTAATATAACCCAAGAGATTTCACAATTCACATGAGAAGCTAAACCCTTCTTCTAATGAAATATTTATTGGGTTCATCGTGGAGAAAAGGAGAACAATTTTTGATGAGCATATTCTTCTATTTATTGTGTTCATTAGAAGTGCCAGTGAGAGGTTTCAAAGTAATTTTTTTTATTGTTGCTTGGGATGAAACATATAATTTTCATCATAAGCAAGATGACCGTAAATAGAATACAATTCTTGCTTGAGTGCTGCCCAAGTGTTTGGTGAAGAGGAGGGAAATGTATATCAAATGCCTCCTCCTGCACCTTACTGACTAAGCCTTATGTTGGCAACTCACCCCTGGTATGCACTCTCTGCATTCTGTAGCTTAGTGAAGGATTTTGTCAGGCCAAAATAAAATGACACTAGCAAAGAAATCAAGATCCCAAAGCAAGCGACTAGTGAAAAACACACTGGGGAGACGGTGCTGCTTGCCCCTGGAGCCTTGAGAAGACAGAGGGTTGCAGCCAAGCAGTCCTGGTGTCCACCGGACAGGAGAGGGAAGGTTTAAAACTCCACCGATTTTGTGGTGCTCTCTTTTGCCTAATAATATGTGTATGTTTCACCCTCACTTCATACTGAGAAAAAGTAACAGACTCATTATTTTATTACAGGCAGATATTCGTACTCCATTTTTTTTGTTTTGGTGAAAAGTGTGCCGACACAGCACTGAGCGTTCCTCGGCTTCCAACTGCCACCTCTTCTCCCAAGGGGTAAGAAAGCTGTTATCACTTCGATGCTAATAATAGAAAATTTAGCACAACTGCCTTCCCATCTTTCAAACCACTTCAATATTTTAAAAACAAAAAACAAAACCCCCTTGGCTCAAGAGGAAGAAAGAAAAGAAAAATTAGATTCCAGTTGATCAGATCTGAAAGCAGTTGTCTAACGTCTCTGTGCAGGCTTTTTTTCCTGTAATTAAAAGAAAAAATGTTTTGATGTCTCACTTTTGTCCTATCAATTATGAGAAAACTGAAGCACCCACATTATACTCCTTGTCCTGCATTTCCTGCCTGTCCCACCAGGCTGTTATTTATTTTTTCCTTAGACATCAACTCTCACCTAATGAATGGGTGCTGTTATGAAAAAGAAATTTAATTTATATAAACATTAATGTAATACCCAAGGAACTTGCTGAAAAATAATGTTGGTTTTTTTTTTTTTTTTTTTTTGAGATGGAGTCTCACTGTGTTGCCCAGGCTGGAGTGCAACAGTGCAATCTCAGCTTATTTCAACCTCTGCCTCCCAGGTTCAAGCGATTCTCCTGCCTCAGCCTCCCAAGTAGCTGGGACTACAGGAGCCTGCCACCAAGTCTGGCTAATTTTTGTATTTTCAGTAGAGATGGGGTTCCACCATGTTAGCCAGGGTGGTCTTGAACTCCTGACCTCAGGTGATCTGCCTCCCTCGGCCTCCTAAAGTGCTGGGATTACAGGTGTGAGGCACCGTGCCTGGCCAAGATATAAATTTTAAGTTCATCTCTGGTTCATAGTCCAAGTAAGTACAGCTCACTGGGTCATGTAAATTTTTTGTCCCTCAATATTAAAATATAAGATTATTACAAAAATATAATCATGGCACTATTTAGAATTTAGATGACACCTTTCCTCTTAGGAAAAACATATCTGGAAATAGATGGTCTTATTTCATATTCATTACAGTCTTGTATGTTAGAAGAGGTATTCTATGCTAGTATCCCTATATCATAAGGAAGAAAGAGGAGTCTTAAAAACTCAAGCATCTTACATACTAGAATGGAATTTGAGCACCAGAGTTAAAATATTGCATGGGAAATTCATAGAAGTAAGGCTACTCAGTCATTCATTGAGTTCAGAGTTTGTAATGACCCCCACATGGTGCTAAAAACTTAAACCTCCAAAGTGTTCCCAGTCCTCCAGACCAGCACATTTGTCTAAAGCAATTTTTTGACCCAAAGAAGGACCAACTGAACCAACTGAATTAGAATTCAACATGGTCCAATTAGCTAGGCTTGGTGCTGCTTGTTCTTCCCAGGATGTCTGGCTGGCAAGAACTCTACCCTCACTGGCAAAATGGGGGATGGAAGGACTGTAGAATTAAACTCTAAGGGTAGAACAAAAACTGCTCTGAATATTCACGTTTCCTTTCTTTTGTCTCTCAAATGTTATTGTAAATGAAGTTATGTCAGAGTAAAATACTAACAAACCAAAGTGGGTTTTTGTTTTCCTACTACGGAGAGCAACCAGTCAGCTTTACACTAGCTAGATGTGGTTTTCCAGTCCTGGTTTAAAAAGCAATGCAGGTATGTAGTCATTTACTTTCAGCCTGCAAGTCCTTTTGATAAAAGAAGCCCTTTGCAAGAAGCATTTCTCTCCTGTCCTTATAAATCAAATAAATAAAAATAAAAATTTCTGCCAAGCCATATGCTTCTGCTTCTCTCCTTCAACTGGCCTAAAATAAAAAAGATTACCCCTCTCTGTTCTTTTTCCTATCCTTCTACTTGAGGGGGAAAAAAGAGCTAGAGAAAGAAAAAGAGAGAGAGAGAAATCAAACAACTGTCTAAACAAATCAATCCAACATTTCCAAGGGCTTTTGACCTGCAGCAATGTCAATCTCGTCTTTTTTTCCCTTTCTTTCTTTGAATCAACATAACCTATGATTCTGATCACTCCAATATGTCAGTGCCTGCTGAGGGCACGTTTTATTGTTCATAAAGCCCCAGACGATAATGAAAAATAAGCAGGGAAATGATAAATTCATCAAAGTTGCGAGAATATTCGAGGAAAAAAGGAATTTCCCGAGGTAACTGTCCTTGACCCGGCTCTTTAATCGAGTGAAATTTCATCACTTTATCTAATATCATGCTTCATGCTTCAGGCTCCCAGCAATTCTATTTTAGTGTGGTCTAATGGGCAGCTGACACATCCACTCAGCACCAGACGGCATAATATGTGCTGACACACTGTGTGGCAAACTGCCTTGCAGGGGCTGTTTATTTGAGCCTCGCCAGGAAAAATGTCATCACAAAAAGGTTCTTTATAATTCTGGCCTCAGCTTTCCGGGACTGGGTGGACTTCCCACTTTAAGAGGTCTGGGAGCCCTTGCGGGAAGGCAGGCAGTGATTTGGGTGGCTGTGCACATTTGACTTTGGGTGAGGGTTGGGAAAGCCCCGGTTATGGTTGTCTGAAACCTGAATCTAGATAGTGTAATGAAGAGTGTCATTCTAACGGCTTTGCAGGCTGGTCTTCTCAGAACCTCTGATTCAATTTGATATTCTGAGGTTAACGTGCTGTATTGGGCCTGAAAACAGGAATGCACATGAAAAGCTTTTATACTTATTCAGTTCAGTAAGCATGGCAAACTCATCAACAGCTATTTGTACACTGTAGGCATGATGGGACTTACTTTGATGTTCTGATTTATGCTTGCTATTTTCCCCTCAGTGTTACTTTGGAGTTGAAATGCACTTAAAAAAAAAAAAAAGTCAGCTTTTGACATAATAGCTAAGGATATTATCATAAATGAAGCAACACACACACACATGCACACACAAATATAGAAATGCCACAATCTTTGACTCTAAATTTCCAATGTAGACAAACTTCAAATTTGAAAAAAATATAAAGGAGATTAAAGATAACTAGATGAAATGTGTGACCCTGGGCTGAATTCAGTGCCACAGAATGGAAAAAAATGCTATCAAGGACGTTATTAGGACAACTGACAAAACATGAACCGTAGATTAAAGTATTGTATCAAATGATAAGTTTCCTGAATTTAATTACTTGTTGTGATTATGTAAGAAAATGTGTTTTCTTAGACAATTCACAGTGAATTAAAGCTACTAAAGAGTATGGGGCATGGTGCATACAAATTACTCTCAAAGGGTTCAGAAAAATTTAATTAGAGAAAGAGGGAATGATAAAGGATATGTGGCAAAATGTTAAACATTACCGAATCAGCAGAGCAATGCAAAGTAATTCTTGTCGAGAAGGAGTAAATAAATTCTGTCAAGTAGAGGTTCAATTGTCTTCCCTCCACTTCTGCAGAAGAAGCTAGTTTGCATCCATATGCAAATGTATTTCGATATTCCTGATCTATAAATGAACCTTTGAACTAGCTGTAATAGTCGCCTGTTTCCCTCACTAAAGATGAGCTAAAACCTCTAGTACGTGTTCCTTCAAAATAAAATTGGTTAATCCAAATAAAGTCTTTAATTCTCTAAACCAGTCTTGTGACACTTTCATAAGTCTGAAATCATTGCAAAATAAATATTTTCTAAAATTACTATAAACAGAAAATAACTATGAGTGGGGAACTGGTGTAAGAATAAATACCTGCTGCATGTGCACATATTAAATAGAAATGTGCTTTACAGGGAGATAATGTGCTTACTCCAAAACTGTGGCACCAGTAAGGTTAAGCAAGCTATGGTCAGTCTAATACTACCACGACTCTGATCATAATGGAGTTCTGTGATTTGTGGCCTCATTAGAACCCTGGGATGGCTATTTAGATCTCCGTGTATGCTATGCCTTGCTTCACCTCACAACCTTTATATTTAAGAAACTGGAGTAGAGTCGCTTTACATTTCCCAGAAAGATCAAATTTAATCTCAAATGGAGTAAGACATTTCTATCTTATGCAAAGTAAGAAGTCACACTGGGACTGGCCTAGTGATCCCCACAGTCTATCTACAGAGGAAGAGTCTTTTGTCACAAAATACTGGTAGTTGCAGTTAGGGAGGAAGAGCATGGTGGGGTGGGATGTTAAAGCCGCAAAGACATCTGTCCATCAAAAGGTTGAAAGGAGGGCATTTCTTCAGTGGTGAAATAAGAACATTGTTCTGTCTTACAAATGCCAACATTTACACCACAAACATCTTTCACTTTAAGCAGGAGTGCTTTGGTAAGGCCGATCAAATATTCCTTCCCCAGTGATTTCCAGCTTTGCTTTTTCTAGAAAGGAATTAGTACTGGTAGCAGTATAATAGGAGCCATAATGAAAATAGCCTTTATATTAGATTGAGCCCTTACAATGTGCCATACACTCTGTCAACAACATCACATTACCCCTTTATTCTTCACAGTTTTATGAACCAGATATTATTAGCCCCATTTCACAAAGCAGTAAACTGAGGGACAAGGAGGCTAAGTGATTGTGAGCTAAGCTCACAAGAGCTAAGCAGTGGCAGAGTTAGATTTCATATTAGGTGAAGTCTGGTTCCAAATCCAGAATGCTTGCATTTACACTACACAACCTCTAGAACACAGACTTGATGAAAACAAGCTTACAAATTGCTTTATTAAAAGCTCATTGGTTCGGGTGTGGTGGCTCATGTCTGTAATCCCAGCACTTTGGGAGGCCGAGACGGGTGATCACCTGAGGTCGGGAGTGCAAGACCAGCCTGACCAACATGGATAAACCCCATCTCTACTAAAAATACAAAATTAGCTGGGAGTGGTGGTGCATACCTGTAATCCTAGCTACTTGGGAGGCTGAGGCAGGATAATTGCTTGAACTCAGGAGGCAGAGGTTGCAGTGAGCCGAGATTGTGCCATTGCACTCCAGCCTGGGCAACAGGAGCAAAACTATTCAAACAACAACAACAACTCATTGAAGAAAACAATACAAATTAGGTGTTCACAATATGGTACTGTTCATGTCGTGGCCATGGTGATCAATGGTCTTGTGGAACATCATGCCAATGAAATAACTAGTTTAAATAAAGCAGTTTGATTATTTTGAACAAATAATGCAGAGCAATAAAAAGGTTATTTCCTTTTATTTCCTTAGATTAGCTAAAGTTACTAAGAACAGAAAAAAGGAACTACTATTTAATTTTCCATTTTGAAGATTTTTTTTTCCTCGAGATGGCATCTTGCTCTGTCGCCCAGGCTGGAGTGCAATGGCACAATCTAGGCTCACTGTAACCTCTGCCTCCTGGGTTCAAGTGATTCTCCTGCCTCAGCCTCCCAAGTAGCTGGGATTACAGGAACGCACCACCACGCCCGGCTAATTTTTTGTATTTTTAGTAGAGACAGGTTTCACCATGTTGGCCAGGCTGGTGTTGAACTCCTGACCTCATGATCCGCCTGCCTTGGCCTCTCAAAGTGCTGGGATTACAGGCATGAGCCACTGAGCCCGGCCCATTTTGAAGATTTTAATACTCTACTTGGAGAGACCCTATATTTTCTAAAACTACAAAACAAAACTGTCAAATTATGAGAAATTTTTAAAAGCAAGCTTCAAGTGTTGTTGTTTTAGTAATGGTAATAAACTATATCAACATTTTTTCTAGTAAAAGCAATAATTTTTCTAAAGGGGAAAACTTTAATTTATAAAGACTTTCACTAGTCAAATCATGGCTAGAAGTATTTGGGGTCTGATATTTTAAGTAAATTGATTGTATCTCAAAATTAATCCTGTCCACCATTTTATGTGAATGCCAATTTTCTTTAATTACTGGAAAGTATCAAGTCTTGTCAATGAGACTTTTAAAAAGTCTAAGAGAACATAAGTCAAATAAAACGGTGACTTTGGATATTATTTCATTTGTTGTCTGCCTGTTGGGTCCTTCGTTCAGCTAAGAGACAAACACTTATTGAATGTGTTTTGATTCTTGCTCTCAATAATCTTAAAATACAAAGATGAGATACAAATAAACAGTTGGCTGTAACAGAGGGCAAATGAAAGTACCCAATAGAGAATGTAATGAATAAAAACTACTTTTTTTGGAAAACTGTTTCTCACTCTACATGATTCTACCTGTTCATCACATGACCCTACCTCCTTCATCATAGAAACAAGCTTATGACCTGGACTGGCCAATCAGAGAACCCAGGCTTCCCAGAAACAATGATAGCCCCAAGATAGACACATGCCCCACCTCCAAACAATCCAAGTCATATGAAGAGTTGATATAAACGCTGTGAAAGAGGATTTCTCTCCTTCGGAGACTGAGAGCTAAAAATACTATGTAAATCTGGAGCTTCTGAGAACCCCTTTCCCGTCATGTATGAGTGTAGGGTCTGCTTAAGACTGAACCCAACATGGAGAAAACCAGAGCCAGGAAATATAATAAGGGACAGATCTCTGAGAACATTAGCCAGGTACTGAATTCAGACAGCTCAACTACTGGATTTTCAGTTACACGAGCCAATAAATACGTATTTTATTTACCCTTGTTTGTATCTTTCATTGAAAACTAAATTGCCTCTCCAATACCAAGATGATCCCTGAATGGAGATGGATTGAAGTGTAAAACTTTTTCCATCTCTAACATCATATTAATTTACTTCACATGGGGGATAGAGGAAAGAACAATTACCTTCAGCTGAGTAATACACTCAGGGTTTCATGGAAGAAGTGATATTTGAGTTGAGCTAGGATTTCCAAAACTGTAAAAGCAGAGTAAGGACTTTTGGGATGAGGAATTAACATGAACAAAAACAAAGAAATATGAAAGTATCCAGTGCATTTGTGTAACTCAGTGGTACAGAAATATAACAAGGAATGGAGGAGAAGTTGAGAATGGGAAGGTATTTGAGAAGTCAATGATAAAAGATCTTGAATATTTGCCAGGTAGTCCTAACTCTTATTATATAAACAAATGCAAACCATTGAAGGCTTTGGAAGAAAAAAAATTCAGGATGTGTCGTATTTCCTGGGAAAATAATCCTGCTAACAGCCTAAAGAAATAATTAAATTAGTAAAGATTGAAAGCAACCTAGGACCTTGGTGAGAGGTGTTAAGGACATAAAGAAAGTGCCTAGAGGGATGGATAAAAGCAGATATATTCAAGAGACATTTTAGAAATAAAATTAATAGAGCAAGGTAACTAAAGTTAAACCTTTTAAATGATAATATCTGCCAAGAGAGAATTTTAAAAAAGAAATTGTGATCTGATGAAGTTTTGAGGCAACAGTTTTTAATGGTTCAAAACACGATCTTTCAGGCAAAGTGGAACTAACCTTTGAGAAATGCTTAGAAATGATCCAAAACAGGCAGATGTACTACGCTCACTCTAGTATCAGGAAGTGAAAGAATTTTACTTCTAAGTTTTGACTTTATAACACATTTTAAACTGCAGACAAATGAGCTGGCATAATGATAGAGTCACAAAATGAATTGCAAGTTGAATGTTAAATGATGCTTGCTTCCTTTGGGTTTTCATGTGGTCGGGCTTAATCTCAGGACAGCAACCAAATGTGGGTGCAGACTGTCTTCATTTCCTTCCTTCCTCCCTTCTCTTTTCTTCCTCTGGCTCTCTTCCTTTTTTCTTTTCTCTTTCTTTCTCAGTCTATCCTCTTACTCCCCCATTATCATTAAATTCGTAGCCACATTTAGACAGAAAACTTTTTATTTTCATAGTGGAAATTAATCAGCATGTTGTTTCAAAACAACACAAGAAAAATTAGCAAAGTTTTCCATGACTTTAAGAGTGGGTGACCTTTTAAATTTTAA